AGAATGCTCCTTAGAAGTGAGGATGGCCAGACTCCAACTTTGCATATGTTGTCAGGAAGGATCAGTCCCTGGAAAAGGACATCATACTTGGTAAAGTAGAGGGTTATTAGAACATAGATAGGAGGACCCTGAACAAGAAGGATTGGCACAGTGGCTGCAGTAATAACAATATAAATTGTTAAGTTACATTGGGTGGTTCTGATTCATAGTGACCTTGTATAGAATTTCTGAGGAGCGGCTGGTGAGTTCGAACCTCAAACTTGGTTAGCAGTCCAGTGTTTATCCTACAGTGCTACACCCTGCGGTTCAAACCGACCTTGTGGTCTAGTGCTTTATCCCACAGCATCATACAAGGACTCCAACAATGATTGTGAGGATGGTTAAGAGTTTTTTCTATTGAGCATAGGATCGCTATGACTTAGAACTGACTTGCTGGCCTCTAACAACAACATGTTACTGTGGAGAATATAACAGACAGCTCAAATCAAAGACATTCCAAGTTGTAAAGAAAGAGAAATAATGAACATTTACTGAAGGTCTCCTTTTTCAGGAACTAGGCTAAGTGCTTTCAGCAGATTATCTTCATTACTTCACATGACAATCCAGTGAGATCTTTATAATTAGCCCCATGTTCATGGATGAGAAAACTGAGGCTCTGAGAGAGCTCATCTTAGATTCCTGATTAAAATCCAGAGGAAGCTGCTCTCCAAAGCTTTGCTCTTTAAGAAAACTCATTTGGGATTAGATTCCTCTTTACTCAGCCCCTAAGCCAGCTTTCTTGAGATACCTAGTCAGACTAGTGTGTAAGAGGGGCAATTTGGGCTCAGAGAAGTGAAGAAACTGTCCTGGGAGCAGAGTCTGGACCACTCCCTATGGTTGTCAGGCCTTAACTTACTGTAGCTTTAAAATCCCTGCCAGAACTGACATTTCCATTCGCTGCCAGTGAGAAGGAGGGCAGTTCCTGTCAGGGAGATGGTGGGAAGCCTTTATCAAGAGAAGGGTGGTCATTGTTCTGCATGCTCAGAGTGAGGGGATCTACTATGGACCCCATTTTAGCTTATCTTGCTTTGCAGCATCCATGCATTATCTTTCTCTTTGAATTCCTTGGAGCCTGTGAATGTATCTATGTTTTTTAAGGCTAGACAAAGAAGACTAGATTTCTTTTTTTTGATGGGGGAGGGAAGACTTGATTGTTGTAAGTGATGTTATATATGCACACAACCTGTTTATAATGTTAAAGCTTGAATTTCAGGACTGTGTTTTCAGTAAGTATTGCTGCTCATCCAGTTTGGAGCGACACATGAAAACAGGAACGAATTGACTCAATAGTTTGCACGCCTTCAATCTTTGTAACGAAATTGCTTATTATTGACATTAGGAACGTTTTTTAAAAAAAAAATGAGACAGCTGGAAAGACAGGGTTGAGGAGAATGCTCAAGATAGGGGGAAGTACATTGACTTGTTTTATGTTCTCCTAAAAAAATGCAAGCTGTTTCTTTGACATTTGGTTGCCACTGTATGTGTTCTGCAGCAGCCCTGGTGGTGTAAGTACTGGACTGCTAACTGCAAGGGTGGCAGTTCAAACACACCAGTTGCTCTATGGAAGAAAGATGAGGCTTTCTGCTCCTGTAAAGATTTATAGCCTCGGAAATCATATACATGGCCACTACAAATCGGAATCGACTTGATGGCAATGGATTTGTGGGTTGGGAATGTGTTCTAATTTGAGCAGGGGCCAGGGCTAGCCCTGTAATGCAGACTCTTGGCTAAAGCATTTGGGTACTAACCAAAACGTTGGTGGTTTTTACCCACCAGCCATTCTGATGGTCACTGTGAGTTGGAATTGAATCGGTGGCAGTGGGGATGTAGGCTCTGGATGACACAAATGGTTTTTGCTCAGTTACTAGTCTAAAGTTTGGTGGTTCAAATGCACCCAGCATCACCGTAGGAAAAAGGCGGGGGTGATCAAGGTAACCTCATGGAACAGTTCTTTCCTACATGGAGTTGCTAAGAGTTGGAATCAACTCCAATTTTTATTTTTGATTTTTTGGAATGCAAGCTCAGAACAAGACCAACTGCTGATGGTCTGGTGGAAACAAATGACGTGACTGCCACATAAAGTATCCAGGATTAAACCTGGGCTGAAGTCCTGAATGTTAGGAAGACAAGAAATGACCTGGCTGAGAATGTTAGATCAGAAGCATGACTTTTGGATCACAACATCACCTTTGGCATTTGATAAATCGTGGCTTCCTCATGGTCATATAAGCCGAAAACCAAACCCACTGCCACCGTGACAATTCCGACTCATGGCAGCAACCTTCTAGAGTGTTTCCAAGAATATAAATCTCTACAGGAGCAGATGATAGCCTCATCTTTCTCCCACAGAGTGGCTGATGGGTTGGAACTGCAGTTAGCAGCCCGATGCCTAACATACAGTCAAAACAGGAACCCCAATCTCTCTCAATAACCTCCCTTTGTCCTCTCAAGGTGACAGCAGCTACACGCATATCTAGTAATACACTGTTTACTCCGCAAACCAGGCTTTCATGCTCCTAGAATCATCAACCTTTTGCCAAAAACCATATAAGAATAATTGTGGGAAAATGATGAAAATTGTAGCCCACTGTGGAGACAGCCAGAAGCCCAGTTCAGTCTGCAGACCCGCCTCACCTTCCAAATACTGAGCCTCAACTGTCTAGGCAGGGCGCTCAGGCTGCGCTTAGAAATAAGAACCCAGAAAACCAGACTTGACAATTCAGCCAGTTATCTTCCTTTTGTCTACCCCATTCCTTTGATTCTCCCAAAGGCCCGATTTCTGCAGCATTAGGGCCTTTGTTGATCCATTCTTGAGAGGAACAAGTTCCTGGGAGCAGGGCCTTCCTGAAGAGCCGACCAAAGTCATAGCCCGGCCTTGTGAAAGAACAAGGCTCTGGGGGCTTACATAGGAAGACCCTCTCTGATTCTCAGGAGAGTTCCTCTGGACTTGTGGGAGCCGCACTTCCCTCAAAGATAGCTTTGGTAAATGAACTCCACCGTGAGACTTCTTTCTTTGTTGCAGACACCATGGTGAGGGTTGTGGAAGGGTTTTTACATGTAAGCATCCTCCAGTTGAGTTGTTGTGACGTATCAGAGCTTGGACACTGCATTGTCCAGTCCTACCTGTCCTATTTTACTGTACAGCTACTGTCAGCTACCCCGAAAGTTGGACTAAGTGTGTGTGTCGAAATGAGTAAATCCTGATTTTTTTTAATACCACCCTTCCTGTGCCCCTTTGCTAAAGCACTTGCCTTACTTCCAAATCCACTAATCCCTTTAAGAGTAGAAACTACTGAGCCAGTTGCTGGGAGCTTGACTGTGTGACTCACCTCTTTCAGAAATATTTAGCTAGGGACCCACTAAATGCCATTATAATGGTGGTAGAGTGTCAGTGAGATCTGAATGCTTTACCACAAAGAGAGCCACCTACTGGGCTGGCTAAAGAGAATGAGTGTGCTGTTAGCCAAGCGGAGCTCCTGAGCATCCCCCCAAAAGGTTTTCCAATCCTCTGTATCTCCACCTCCTCATCTGCTCTCAGGGGGGAGTAGGCCATGTTCCACAAGCCTGGTGGCACCAGGGGAGCCTTTTGGAAAACTTCGAGCTCTGTCTGTTACATGGAGGCCTCTGTCCTCCTGGAACCTAAGACAGGCAATGTTTGAAGTGTCTGAAAAGGCAGGATTCCCCCAAAGTTCACTGTCTGTTACACCTGCAACTGGACAGAGGGTCCCTAGGAGAGTTAGAGCACATGAAGGGAGGGGCCCATCTTGGCCCCCCTGGCAGGTCAGCACAGGCTCCCACTTGGAGTTACTCATTTCATGATGGTCAGAACAGAGGACGTTATTAGTCTTAATTTACCGAAGAAGAAAAAGAGGCTCAGGAGATCAGAAGAGGGAAGGGCTAGGAAGCAAAGTTCAGTGAGGGCCCAGTGCTCCTGGAGAGACACTGGGAGAGATTGGCTCCCCCACCCCACTGCCACTTCCATAGCTGCACAATCAGCAGGACTAATCCGTTGACAGCCCTGACACATTCATCAGATGGGGACAGCTTGAGTTCTGGGCTTGCAGGGGCCCTGTCCTAAAGCGATAACCTTGATTTCCTTGTTTATTCCTACATTCCAGGTACTGCCGCAGAAAAGAGGCTTTTGGAAGCGGGGTTGAAGTATAATGTAGTTGTTGTTAAGTGCCGTCGAGTTGGTTCCGACCCATAGCGACCCTGAACAGGGTTTCCGAAGCTTGTTAATCTTTACAGGAGCAGAAAGCCTCATCTTTCTCCAGTGCAGCAGCTGGTAGTTTCGAACTGCTGACCTCAAGGTTCACAGTCCGATTCGTAACCACTACGCTACCAGAGCTCCTTAATAGCCATTTCTATATTCGAAGAAGAGGTGTTCAAGTGTCAGGAAATGAGTGGATAGAATCTGGTTTCCAGGGTTGGAGCTCTACTGTTTGACTGTGGGCACTTCCCTTCCCCTCTCTGAGTCTGGGTTTCCTCACCTGTCTCCTCGCCTTGCAGTCCAAGGTCCCACTCTGCTATAGTACTGTCTTTATGTGAGTGAAGCCCTCCTGGCGGCTCAGGGTTTGCTGCATGGGATTCAACAGGAAGAGGGGAAAGAGCCCAGTCTATGCTTTGAAACAGCTTTAGATTCGTCGCATTCTGTACATTTTTTGGGGGGAGGGCAGCATGCTTTCTCCTTGGTGCTGACTTACCTTTTCTATAAATCTCCTTGCTTTCGCTGGAGAATTGAGAGAGGCAAAGAGAGAGGGCGAAAGATCCAGTTTGCACCTTGCTATGTAGGGGAAGTTGAAATGACAAGCCCAAGTGGAGCGATGCACTCGTTGGAGTGACCTCCGTTCCTCAAGACAAGTGGAAGTGCCAAGTTCTCTACTGTGAAGTGGCTCGAGCTTTATTATATAAATTCAGGCTCGCTTTTGATCCTTAGTACCCTGAGTTGCCTGAAGGGGGGAATGGCACTGCCTGCGTGTGCAGACCCGGCGCTCGGGCCGCCGCTGCAACCGGAGCGAGGAGCGCCCGCCCGCACCACCTGTCCCCGCCGGCATTCCAGAGTGGAGGCCGAGTTGGCAGCGAGCCGGCCCGGCTCGGTCGCCGCCTCAGTCAGCGCGGGCCCTCCTAGGGGTGTGTCTCGCGGTTTCAACTCCCGGACGCTCCTGGACGAGCCCCGAAAAGCGTCTTCCTCCCAGGCGGGAGCCGCGCGCGCCCCGCTCTTCGCGCTGCTGCCCCGTGGCCGCCGCAGGCGGATGCACGACCTCAGGAGACGCTGGGACCTGGGCTACCTTTGCCGGGCCCTGCTTACTCGGGGCCTGGCTGCCCTGGGCCACTCGTTGAAGCACGTGCTCGGTGTGATCTTCTCCAAGATCTTCGGTCCCCTGGCCAGGTACGTTCTCTACAAGCGCGGGGCTGGGGATCTCGGCCCGGGGAACTCAGGAACAGCGTGGGACGAAGCGGCAGCTGCCAGATGGGGCAGAACGCAAAGTTCAGGCGGCCAGCGGTGGCCGGGCCCGGGATCCCGGGGGCGCGGCGCGCGTTTGGCCGTGCCAAGGTTTCCTCGCCGCCAGTCCGCGGGCAGTGGCGCGCAGCGTCTCCGCTGGCAAGTCGGCCTATCGGCCGGGTCCTTCCCCAGAGACTCACAATGCCTGGCTCCGAGCGCACTCCAGGCGGTCTCCAGGGTGGGCTATGGGCTCGGGCCAGAGCGGGACTTGGGGGCGCGTGGGGAGTGAGCTGGCGAGACGGGCCGGCGGCAACGCGCGCGTCCACGACTCTGGGGCAGAGGCCGGTGGGCGAGGGGGACGGGAATGGGAGTCTTGGGAACAGCGGGAGGAGAGCAAGAGGAGTGCTGGAGCCCCACCCCAAGGCGCGATTGTGGAGCTGGGTGGCTGGGTCCCGTGGGTTCGAAGCCCTGAGCCGTGGCGCCCGGGGGCCCGATGGGGGAGGGGTCAGGGGCCCGCGGGAAGGAGTGGGGGGTGGAGGGTTCGGCAGAAGCCACAGCGCTGAGCCTGCCGGGAAGGAAGGAAGCGGGCCGGCAGCCGCCGCCGCCGCCGCCGCGGAGGACTCGGTACAGAGGGGGGAGAGGGGCGCGCCGGCGGCGCCGGGGGCGGGGGCGGTGCGAGCGCGCGGCAGCGTGGGTCGAGCTGCGGGACTGACGTAACGAGCTTGGGTTTCCCTCAGCGTCGGGAACATGGATGAGAAATCCAACAAGCTGCTGCTGGCTTTGGTGATGCTCTTCCTCTTTGCCGTGATCGTCCTCCAGTACGTGTGCCCCGGCACAGAATGCCAGCTCCTCCGCCTGCAGGCGTTCAGCTCCCCGGTGCCGGACCCGTACCGCTCGGAGGATGAGAACTCCGCCAGGTTCGTGCCCCGCTACAATTTCAGTCGCGGCGACCTCCTGCGCAAGGTAGACTTCGACATCAAGGGCGATGACCTGATTGTGTTCCTGCACATCCAGAAGACCGGGGGCACCACTTTCGGCCGCCACCTGGTACGCAACATCCAGCTGGAGCAGCCGTGCGAGTGCCGCGTGGGCCAGAAGAAATGCACTTGCCACCGGCCGGGGAAGCGAGAGACCTGGCTCTTCTCCAGGTTCTCTACGGGTTGGAGCTGCGGGCTGCACGCCGACTGGACCGAGCTTACCAGCTGCGTACCCGCTGTGGTGGACGGCAAGCGCGACGCCAAGCTGAGACCGGCCAGGTGAGTCCGTGGCCGCGCCCGAGGGCGGCTAGGAGCCTCCAGGGACCCTAGGTGTTTTGGCGACCGCAGGGAGCATATTAGTAGCAGCCTGGGCCGGCTGGCCGAGACACTGATTGGGATGGGAGTGCGCGCGGTGGACACTGAGATCTGACTGGGAGCCTTCTTGGCCCCCTTTCCTCTGCAGCCGAGCACCGAAGCGCCCTGTCCCTGCTCTGGGCCTCTTTCCCGCGCTTGCATCCTCTACACTCCCTCTTTTTGTTGCTCTTCTTCCTTCTAGCTCTTTCCCTCTTGAGCTCCTGATCTAGCCCATTCCTGGTCACTGGCTCTTTCCTTCTAACTCCCCCCTTCTCCTCTACCGCTTTTCTTCGCGTTTTCCCTCTTTTCTTTTTGTGTTCCCCCTCCAGACTTTTCTCGCTTCTTCTTTGCCCCCCTCACCACTTTGTACTGTGACTCTCCCTTGGCTGCCAGTTCTTTCTTTCTTCCTCCTCCGTCTCTCTCTCCAGCGGGTCTTCTGTTTTGTGTGTGTGTGTGATTTCTGGCTGGACCCTCTAGGGTGAGTGCGTGTTCCTCCGCCGCTGGTTGGGGACACCTCGGGAGAGCTGAGAGCTCTAGGTCCCAGCCGGCACCGATTACTACTGGCTGCAAGAGGGGCAGGGGGCACCCCTCCGCCCGAGGTGCCGGCTGGACCGACTGCTTGTGTGCTGGGGGCCCTGCTCCAGGCCCCATGTGGGTTTCTGTTGTCAGGAGTCTCACTTGATTTACAAAAGCTTGCGCCAGAGCGCGCGGAGCCTCCAGCCCAGCTGCCAGGAACCCGAGGCTGACGTGGAAAGAGGCTGATTTATGATGAACCGGTAGCCAGTGGCTCTTGAAGCGAGATTTTCCTCCCTTCAGCTGCAATGCCCGGTTGCTTGAGGTCATGGAGTGCATGCAGTCAGGGAGGCGGAGCAGCGGGCCGGGTTGCAGTGCAGTTGCTCTAGCCAGAACTCCTGTTTCGCCAGTCTCCCTAAAACAAATGTAGGCGAGGGCAGCGAGTCCCAGGAGTGGAAACAGTGAGTCTAATTGTCAGGGGACCGCTGGGTTGGGATCTCTGAGTGGGCATGGCCGCGCTCTCCGATTCATCAGGGGCTGCCGCAGTGACTACCCACCCAGAACCCATGCTGCCCCTGCATGAGGGAATATTCAGTTCCTGGACCAGGCAACGTTTGGCTGGTGATTCTCAGACCAAACAGCCAGTGAGGTTTCTTCTGCTTAGCCTCAGGCGATAGGAGCACTGTGACTCAATACCCTTAAGATTTAAAGGGACTGTTGTTAGACCCGAAGACGTCCTGGTGGTCCAGTGGTTAAGAGTGGACTCCTAATTGAAAGTCCAGAGGTTTGAACCCACTAGCTGGCTCCACGTGAGAAAGATGTGGCAATCTGCTTCCGTGAAGATCTGCAACTTTAGAAACCATTGGGACAGTTGTACCCTGCCATACAGGGTCGCTGTAAGTTGGAATCGACTCTAGAGCAATGGGTTTGCTTTTTGGCATTATCGCAACCCCCTCCCTCCGCCCCCATTTCTGGCAGACACTGTTCAACTTATATTACCTTCCCAGCTCTCATGGCTTTTCTTCCTCTCCCATCATTCCCCATCCTAAGAGAACCTTGGTCCCAGGAACTTGGCCACTGTCAATCTGCTGGGAGAATTGTGTCTTTGTTAACACAAGGTTCTGATGTTTAATAATATTGAAAGTCGTCTCTCTTGTTGATGGAACTGTAGGTGTAGTGGTGGTGGGGGGAGGCTAGAGAAAAATAGGACCCCAAAGCCATAACCGTGACAGAAAAGTATAAAGGAAGTCTTGGCACCTATGGAAGGTAGACTTCTTCAAACTTCTTCGTAGGACAACCAAACCCAGTGTCATCGAGCTGATTCTGAGTCATAGCAACCCCTTTATCTGGTTCCCGAGGTTGTAAATCTTTATGGGAGCAGAGAGACTCATGCTTGTCTCACGAACCACCCATCTTACTTTTAGCAGTCTAACACGTAACCCACAGTGCCACCTACGCAACCAAGCAAGACCCTTCAAAACAGAGATTCTGGTCTTTTAGAGTGTCCTGGATTGAATCAAAATGATTGGAAAAGAAATGGGATTTCCTTGGTCATAAAAAGGCTGATACCACAGTGCCATCTAGTCTAATCAAAGAGAAACCACTAAAAAATAAAGTCAGAGTCACTGAGTATTTCCAAAAAGAAAATCAAATTTGCTAGAGAAGCACATCTCTACCCCAGAGGCATCTTTGCATTTCATTAATTCCTGCCCCTCACCCGAAATCGTCATCTGGAAGAATAGTGAATGCCTGAGCATTCCTGAATGTCTCTGCATCCTTACCTGCTGGACCAGTGTACGTGTGTGTGAGAGGGAGAGAGTGTGTGTATATGTGAGTGTGCTTGTGTGTGTGTGTGTGTGTGTGTGTGTGAACATTTAGAAGTGAAGGCAGCTGTGCTGGCAGCAATGCATGAGGGTGAGGGGCTGGTCTTAGGAGACCGGAGAGTCAGTCATGGGGAGCAGTATCTCCATGCCAGCTGGTGGTCTCTGTGCTCTGCTGAACTGAGGGGAATAGCAGCTCAGTTGGCTTGCCTTGGAAGACCAGACACCTGGACCTTAGTTCTAGGTCAGCCATGAACCAGCTGTGTGACCTTGGACCAGGGCCTGCTTGAGGAGTGCTTTCCAATTTATTATGAGTTTTTGCATCACATCCATGATCTCTGAGTGTTGCTCTGTAAACTTGCACTATTTGTAGGAGGAAGACAGGGTGGGCCTAAGTATCCCCATTCATCAGATGAGAGTGAGGCGCCAAGACACTGAAGACTTTTCCCAAGGTCATTGAGCTCGTTAGTGGCACAGCAAGAATCTTACTCCAAAAGTGTCTTGACTGCACACGTTGTTGGCTGCCCCTTGAGAGACTAAGGTTTTTGTGAAAATACAATGACGTAATGCACGTTAGTATTTATAACAAAGTGAGCACTCAAGAAATGTTAGCTGTTATCACCTACATCATCTGCATCATCAGTCATTTTATACATGGGAGGTCTGAGGGAGGATTGGACCAGTGTTGGCAAATTCTCTGGATGAAGAGTAGATCTTTCTATATCCTTGAGGCTTTCTGCTCAGGGCAGAGGAGCAGAGTGCAAAGGAGTCTCTTGTTGTTATGTTGGAAATCTCTGCAAAGCTGGATTGGAAGAGGAGGAGAAAGGCTAGGGAGAAGAAGCCCTGGGCAGTGACCAGGCCCATCCTGACTCACAGCCACATTTTGGGAAGAGGGCATGATAGGCAGGAGATTTGAGATGCTGCCCTGCTGAGGCTGATGGTCAAGTGCTTGGATGAGGTATGACTTTAGTAGAAATGTGGTTAAGCACATTTCCTGGAGAGGACAAAGACAGTATGCTTGTTGACAAAAGGCTCAGTTGTTTATTAGTAATATTATTTTCTTTAAAAGAATTAGGAATTACATTTCATGGGTCTTTCTGCCAACATGCTGTTGAGAGGGGGCGGCCAGAGAAAGATCCTGCCCTTTTTGGGATTTTCAAGACTAGTTCTGAAAACGTATCCAAATATTGTTGCTTACCAGCTGTTCCAAACTCCAAATTTTGCAAGCATTTCACAATCCAGATTCTCCGTTTGTCACCAAGTGTAGTGCGCAGCTGGAATGGCAGGAGGAATTTAGAACTGGGCCCAATGAGCTTGAACTAGCCTCATCTTCACCATGTGCCAAGCTGGCTGCCACACATAGGGGTTAGGAGTGGGTGGAGGTCACAGTTCCAGGACTGCACACACAAGTGAAAAGTCACTTCCATTGGAGGACTCATAATCACATTTATGTTACATCCTGGACTTTTAGCATCTCTCAATTTTTCAACAGCTATACTGAAGGGTACTTGTCATCTAAAATCCAGTAGGGTATTATTGACATGCTGGGCTATAAGGTGTTTAGATAGTGAGAAATTCTCTTTATCATTTCTTTTTAAATGGAAAGTCTTTTGGAAGAGGTGTGTCTTCATCACAACAATATTGATCCTGTGCCTGATCACACCTTGCCCACATGCCCACTCACTCATTGCTTCCCTTTCTTGATTTTGCTGGGTCACAGGATTCAGTGGCAGGCTTGTGACCTAAGGTGGGTGGACTAGTAAAAGCCAGTAATGCTGTCCCTGCGAGCCTTCAGGCTGGAGGTTGCTTGGGCTCTCACCCGGGTAGCTTTGCTTAGCTGATGCTGTATTTCTGCAACCATCTTTGATGGGAGCAGTTCTACTCACTTGCATGTCTGGCAAGTATATTGTTGGAGTGCTAACAGATCTCTGTATTCTTAGTGGGGAAGCCTACTAGAATTAGCATTCCTTCAATGAGCCCTGGTGCTGCTGTGGGTGATGCATTGGACTGCTAACTGCAAGGTTAGTGGTTCAAGCCCACTAGCTCCTTCATGGGAGAAAGATGAGGCTGTAGGCTTCCAAGAAGAAGTTTTACAGTCTAGGAAACCCTATGTAGGGTTGATATGAATCAGAATAGACTTGATGGCAGTGGCTTTTGGTTTGGTTTTCATAATAATTTTAAGGACTCTGGTGTTGAAGTGGTTTTGCTTGGCTGCTCACAGTAAACTTGGTGGTTGGAACTTACCAATCACTCCATAGACGAAAGATGTGGCTGTCTACTTACATAGATTACAGCTTTGGAAACTCCATGGGTCAATTCTACTTTGTCCTGTTTGGTTTCTATGAGTGTGAATCAACTCCATGGAAGTGGTTTGATTTGATTTTGGAGTAATAATTTGAGATTAGCACTATTAACTGGCAATTAAAATGTCAGCGTGTCTTTTATGGATATCAGCAGTAAACTTTAGTAGTATGTGATGACATTTAGAGACAGTCATCCCTTCCATCACTCCTTCATTTAACACAATGTTATGAACTTCCCATCATATTCCGGGGAACACACATCTGTATTCCTCTCACAGAGCTTAAAGAA